ATAGAGACGTCCTTCATTAACCTATACAACTGTTTTCTGTGCCATATTTTTATGACTAAATGTATTTGCTTCATTAGTTATATTACTACAATGAAAGGTAATTTGTATAAATCGAGTAAGTTAAATTTAACATTATGTGGAAAAGCAAACACAGTGAAAATGGACATAGACCCTCTAAACTGTTGTACTGTAAACTTACCTATGTGTGTACCAGGGGCAATACTAAGAAGTTACAATACCATTATCCAACACTTTGCTTGCAATGCTGGTAAACCCCATATTAGCATTAATCAGCTCTGCCAACCAGGAAAAAAAAGGGGCTTAGCCCTGCCTGATACAGAATATTACAGTATTTCTTTTGAAACGTCCAAACTGGCATTGGGCAGGGGAAATCAACCTGAATTGGGTTTTAATAGAATGACAGCTTCCCTCACCATTCAGACCAATAGATATTTTATAACAGTCAAATAAAGGGAATAAAACAAAAAAATCATGTCTTGAAACTTTCTAAAATCGTATGGCTGGAGGTACATAAATAATACAAGCTTGTTACATATGTGCAAAAATACGACCCCTTGTGGCATAACCCACAAATTAAAATCAATAAACAGACTTTACTGGGCACAGTGGCTAAGAAAATATATTAGAACTGTAGATGATCTACTGGAGGGAGACATTTTATGTCATATGGAAAAAAATGAGTGTTCCTCATCTGTCCCATCTAGTAGAAAAATTTCAGATAGATTTTGAGTCAGTGGGTCACCTGACCTGGAACCCATTGAAGAAAAATACATTTTAATTTAAATAAAAATCCTAGAAAATATAAAATTACTTAAAATGAAACAAAGATGGGTGCGTCCTCTTTCCCTTGTAGAACAACTTCAGACAGATTTTGAGTCAATGGGTCACATTACCTGGAACCTACTGAAGAAAAACAATACATTTGAATGGAGAAAATGTTTAAAAATATGAAAATGACTTATAATTAAATTAAAATGTGTGTGCCTCGTTTATGTAATCTAATAGCACGATTAGATTACATACAACTGCGGAGCTTGAATATCCAATATTCAACTGCAAACTTCAAGCCCTCCAGCCTTCAGCCAGCGTCCCCGCGGCGGAACTAGGAACCTTTCTTTTGTGGAGGCGCGGAATTTAGAGACGAACAAACTTCCGGCCAGCGCTTCCTGCAGCGAAGCCGCTATTACTGTAAACAACTTGTGTTTTCGCGATGAATCGCAGCAGATCGTTAGATAAAGTGACCAGGGAGAAAAAAACAGAGAAAAAGAAACGCAGACGGTCTTCTTCCTCCTCCTCTTCCTCCTCCTCTTCCTCCTCCTCCAGCAGGAGCAGGTCGTCTAAGAAAGCTTCTCATAAGAAGAAAAAGAAGACAGGTTGGAGCTGGCTTGTTCATTGAAAATTTTTATATATATATATATATATATATATATATATATATATATATATATATATATATATATATATATATATATATAAAATCGAGTCTCAAGCTTCCTAAGTATATGTTTCTCCTCAGATGGCGAAGAGCAACGAAAGAGGCGGAGGACGCGCTCCTCATCTTCATCATCCAGCACATCTTCATCTTCCTCCTCCTCGAGTGATGAGAAGAGAAAAAAGAAGAAGAGCAAAGCAAGAAAGAAAAAATTGAAGAAGCAGAAGGCAAAGTTAAAGAAACAGAAGAAAAAGGAGAAAAAGAAGCTAAAGAAGGAGAAGAAACAGGAGGCAGAGGCATTGCAGAGTCCTGCAGTCAAACCTTCATCATACCTGGAGCTGATGCAGAATAGAGAGGAGGAGGAGGAAGAGGTGGAGCTCGGACCAGGTGAGACATTCAAGAGACATCGATGAAATATCTGTGATATGTTCTATGAAATACTAAAAGAAGTCAAAAAAAAAAAAAATTTAAACGACAGGAGCAGACTGAGCAATACTGGATGGAAAACCTTTGAAAAGCATGAAGGGCAGTCTAAAAACTGATAGAGAACATTTACTAATCTCTGCATTCCTGTAGTGATAGTCTTTAGACAGATGAGTCTAAAACTGAATTCTAAATCCCTTTATTGTCCCACAATGGGGAAATTCACCCTCTGCATTTAACCCATCCCCTTAGGGAGCAGTGGGCTGCAATTGTGCGGCACCCAGGAGCAATGAGGGGTCTTGCTCAGGGAACCCAGAGCGGAGGCTGTGGGGATCGAACCGCATACTTGCAACCTTCTCAGAGCACAACCACCCTGCTCTATACAATAGGCCAGCACTGTTGTTATTTTTATTGGATACCAGAACAGCATGATTGGCGTTAATATGATTCTTCATTCCAACCAGCATTAGAAGCATCAGAGTGGAATAGTTATGGTTTTAAGGTGCATTGATTCAGCATTATGTTTGCATATTTACAGTTTGCAATATAAGGGATGAAAAAAAGAATACATTAATTGATAAAGAAATAAAAAAAATGAATTAAAACACAAATTCATAAATACATTGTGACATTTATTCTTAATTATGTTAGTTTTGGTCCTCCATTTCAGCTGGACCAGAGGTCTCATTAAAAAGCTTGCATACTCACAAAATGCAGCTTAAGACTTGTCTAAGTCAACTTCCACCCAAAGCTTTTGATTTATATATATATATATATATATATATAAACAAATTGTTGTCTTCTCATATGAAACTTTAATCGTACATTGACTTTATCAGTACCAAAAGTGTGATATATCTAATTGAACTGCGGAGTCTACCTGACACGTGAATGAAACTAGGTTTCTAAGCAGCTTAAATGCAAAATAAAAAAATCTGCACACATTTACATTTTTCTTTGTTGATCAACGTCATTGTATTCATGTAGCAAGGTGTGAAGAATTACCATCCATTGCTATAAACATTTAAATACTGACCCACCTGTGCATAGTGGATGATTTAACTATGCTGGAGACTTTGGAAATTTGACAATTTGGAGGGAACACATTTTTTAGGGGTTACCAATGTTCCCCAACCCAGGACGATAACCTGATCATTATAAATAAAAATAAATATTAATGAAACCTTCTGAGATTTATGACTACCAAGCATCTTTATCTGACTTTCCACCTCTCACATAAACACTTCAGTTTTTTTGATCAGATGGTTAATTTAAATACACAACATCCATGTGGTGCTTTCCGTCAACCATTTATGGTTGAATGTGGGCAGAAGATGAAATGTTAGCAGAACATAAAATGCTTGTTTTCCGGCCTGCATAGATCAGGATTAGTATTTATTTATTTTGGCTTGCTCCATTTTTGGGTGTTTGCTGTGTATACACTATTGGTATGGATCCTACAGTGTTTTATGAATGAGACCTCTGACTGGTCCACCATGAATCAGAGCGGGATTGAGATACATGCTAAAATGGAAAGTTGGGGCCAAATGAAGACGCATAAAACTGCTTTACATGCTGGAAACCTAGCAAATATCTTAAGCCTAAAGAGAGGAGTGGGTCAACTTTGCCCACTCTCATATTACTAACTATACATGAAGCATCTCACTGATGTCATTATGCAGACAGAGAGGGTGGGACTTGTTGGGGGGTTGTGTGCTCTGACCTTTTTCACACATAATACCCATTTTTGTTTATGTTTTGCTAAATAAAATGTTTTGTTCTCCAGTCATGACTGATGAGCAGAAGGCCCGGCTCGCCACAAAGAGACCTCTAACTAAGGAGGAGTACGAGGCCAGGCAAAGTGTGATCCGCAGGGTGGTGGATCCTGAAACTGGAAGAACCAGGTCTGACACAGAGAGATGTTTAACTGCAGCTTAACAACCATGAAATGAAACTCTCCAGTCTTTTGATGTTTGACCTTCTTCCTTCCAGGTTGATGAGAGGAGAAGGAGAGATCATCGAGGAGATAGTGACCAGAGAAAGACACAAAGAGATCAACAAGGTGAGCAGAACATCATTGAGCTGATGTGGAGAGGGTATTGGTGCTGTCAGGTGGATGATAAACATTTCTGTTTTATCCATTAGCAAGCTACAATGGGAGACGGGAATGCCTTCCAGAGGAAACTGGGAATGAACAGATAGAAGATATATAAGCTGCTTCTGTGAATTTTTAAATCATTTGGATTTATTTTAATATGTTGTGAAGATGTTTACATTTGTTTGGACTGTTGACATATGTTTCTTTATCTCACATCACCTTGAAGACAACTGGTATTATAAAACACAATAAATCTGATTTAAATATTCTATTTATGTCTCTTACTTTACACCCATACGGCATCAATTTGTCCTTTTTTAAATGTATACTTATCTTTCTATTCTGTGTGTTTGAGGTTTTGAGATTTTTTGTGTTTAGGGTTTCTAAGTTTTCCACTTTGGATTTATTTTTTATTTTCAACCCTCAGGCCCTGTAATTATCCTAATGTCTTTGAAGGCAACTAAACTCTGACATATGAATAAATCAGGTAGATATGGGTCCTAACCAGTCTGATTATTGTTCTCATATTATAGGTTTGAAACAGAATTAACAACAGAAACTAAGAGGATCTTTTTTAAAGATGTCCATACTTGAGTTCCTGTTTTTTTGGTTAACAGATTATTTGATTCCCTCAAAATAGCTTCCAACTTAAAGGTTTTTCAGCACCATTACTGGTCAGAATGCACCAGAGGGAATTTATTTAAAGTATGATATTTAAAGCCAGAAACTGAACAAATATCTTGTCAAAACAGTATTAAGTATGAAACATGGAGGTGGCAGCATCATGCTTGTGCTCTGCATACACTTGAGTGACAAGAAAGTACCTCAAAATTCTTCCATTCTAAACAAGATGTGAATCCTGGAACAATGATTCCAACAAATTGTAATTTTTTGTTTTTATTTTGAGAATAGAGGAGCCCAATGCTGGTTATTTTTTGTCTGTTATCCTGAACATGACAAGTGAAAGGATTAAAAACAGCAGAACTCCCCAGGAACTACAATTGCTCAAAAATACTTCAAAAAACTGATAATCAGAAGCTAAGTGGTTTTTCTAGATGTTCCCGCAGAACTGAAGAGGATTTGATCTGAGGCCACAGCTAAAGCATGTTTACTGTAAAAGATCGAGTTCAAACTAGAGGCAGTAACAAAGTTTAAGCTGCAGTAAACCTGCTTTATTCGACACCTGTTATAAATTATTTGTGGAATAAATTACACCGATGTGTGATAATTGAAATAAACAAAAGGGCCAACATTTGTTAGTTCTTTATAGTTTCTTTATACACTCTTCATAAAATCACAAGGGAATGAATAGAATGAAATATAATCCTACAAGATCTGCAACCTGTACAATTCTTACATTTCATAAGATTATCTACAGATAAATATATAAACCAGCCCCCCTCAGTGAGGTGGTTAAAGTATTATGCAAGTCGTCATGACTCACTGTGGCAACTCCTGAATATGGGAGCAGCTGAAAGGATACATTTATAAATAGTTGTTATAAGAGGACTAGGTCTGGACTAAACCAAAAAGATTTCCAGACAGATTGCTTAAAAACTGGATAAATATGTAACATCAGGTATTTATTTAAAGTGATGCCAGTGTGTATCCCTTCTGCTGCTGAACATAGTGGCACTAAAATACAGGCTTTCTGCGCAACTGGACTCAATCGATGTGGGATATTTTCTTTTTTAAAGATCAACTATCCTCTGCATCAGCTGACATGTTAAAAACATCAAAATATGTGAGCGAACTGAACAAACTTTTTGTTTTGTTGTATAATTTCAGTTTTAATGAACCTGGGTTCACTGCACCGTGCAGATAACTGACTTCAAATAGATGCCTGTGAAAAAAAAAAAAAAATTACAACAAAAACCAAGTGTTTCCATAGAAAGAACCCAATCGTAACCATCGACACATTTATTAGGCCAGAGCCTCTTTATTGAGAGAAATCTCCACACTGTAAAACCTGCCCCTGTGCATTCAGGGCACAGCGCTAACTTGGTGAGCTAAACCCTCTGCAGTTTGCAACTGTTAAATATGAGGGTGGGGGCTGATTGTCAGTGCACTGTGACGTCTGTTTGATCCAGCTGTGCTTCTGAGCAGCATTGCACACTTTCCCTTCCATCTGAATTAATATGGATCCACTGCAGTCAGCGCTGAACGCGCCTGTTACACCAAGCTCCACACTCATTGTCTTTCCTGGTAAAGAGATGTAAAATGCTTTAATATGAATTTATCTTGTACAGCAGCAGCAGCATATTATCACACAAATCCAACCTTTCATGTATATTTAATCGGTAAAGGAAAAAATAAAATAAAACCTTATATGGAGAAATGTGCAAATTCAACACGATTTGGTGTCACCAGGACCGAAATAATAACCTCTTAACTGGTCAGTGCATACTGAGTGAAATCTTTCAAATCCCTCCTATGGTGGGAAACCATTCCTGTGGTGCCTTAAGATATTTTCAACTATTATGCAAAAAGACGCAGATTGAACAGTTTTTTTGTTTTGTTCTTAAGAAGCGGCCCATTGATCCTAGACATTAATGCTAAGGGCCTTTGGAAGAAGAAACAGACCCACCGTACCAAAGTTCCTCCACCTTGCCCACCTTACACCTTGATATTAGATCAAACCAAAAGTGTCGAAAAGAAAAATAACTTAAGGAGGTGAATAATGAGTGCTAATAAGGAGTTCTTAGATAAAATGGGTGATTTTGTACCAATCAAATATTGAATTCTTGCCCAACATTAAATAAATATACTGAAATGACAGGTTGGAGTTTTAAAACTTACAGTGTGAGGTTATGCTTCTGCAATAGAGGGTGAAGATATACTTTTTTTTTTGTTAAAAGCATCTTTACCAAAGGAGTCAATAACCATGGAGATCAAACACAAGGGATGAGCAATCATATGTAAAATAAAAAAAGGCATGAAAATGTACCAAACTTTATAAACAAACAGCAAGGATTGTAACGCAAGTCTCGGCTCTGCGTTCATCGTTTCCATAACGTATTGTACAGAATTTACATCTGGTGCCTCATCTTCCAGTAAAGGTGCAGCAGAGAGGGAAACCGTAACGTAGGGAAGAGTAATCAAGAACATTCAACGCCTAATTTACAGCTCAGTAATAATCAGAGCGGGGGAAAAACTCCAAAATTTCCAAAAAATGTCCAATATTTAACATACCTTACAGTATATGACACAAGATAACAGCTTTGATACAACTCCAGTGATCTGCAAGTTGAAATGATTAATACAATACTGTGCAAGGCAAGGATTCCTGCACCTTTGGCTGCTGAAACTCAAGTTTAAAGAGAAAATAGATAACATGGCAAAAAAATAATAATCTCAAAACAACTTTTTGTTCACAAAAAAAAAGATAATTTATAACACAGCCATATAATTAAATAACAATGATTATCAATTGTTTCACCCTCATAGTAAAGAAGACACTTTAAACTGGCCTTCAGTGGACCAGATACCAGATCTGCACTGTGATGTAACAATTATGTACAGGCCTCATTCAGGCCTTTAATGATATACTTACAGGATTTATTCCAATGTTAAACACACAGGAGACCCTTATGTGATCCTCTGTGCCTCGATGCAGCGTACGCTTCAACGCTGCTCACTTTGGCACCTTGGCTGTACAGTAGTTTATTCTAAAGTTGGATCAGGTGCAGTAAAAACCCAGCTGGAACCATAACTAAAGGCTCAGTCCGGAGTTTTCTCCTTGTATTGGAGGAAAACTGCCACTTTAAGTCTTGGTTGAATAATTTCTGTTTGGCTTAGATTAATTTTCCTATAAATTGCTGATAGATGATAAACACTGTTTCTTTTTCCTATAAATGGACTCAGTTCAATGTAAATCAAGTGTCAGCTGTTTTTAAACATTTACAACTGAATAGAAGGGTTTATACCAAGATGTCCAACACAGAAAGTTGGTGCCTGTTGCTGGCTTTGGCCGTATCTGTCATCTGCGCCGCTGTAATCAGTGAAGCTGCTTAACTGTGGGACCCTGTTCTCTTTAACAGCCTGTTGGAGGAATTCTGACCTGATATTAGCTGAACAGAAGAAACCTTTTAGGTTCCTAAAGCATTATTTATTCCTGTTTGTGTAACATGTTTCAGACGGAAAAAAAAACAAAAAACAAAAAAAAACACTTCCACAGCTTGCAGTGAAGTCCTTTAGTAGCCGATAAGTGGTCTGTAGCACCAATCCCCCTGTGGTGTTCCAGCCCACTTGGTTCAAACTAGCAGCTTTTTCACTCTTTGCCTTCTTCCGCCATTGAATTCTCATTTGGGGTTGAAAGGGAACGGCTCCAGCTTGGTGCTGCCGCTGCGCCCCCAGCAGCTCGCTGTAATGCTCATGCTGCGCTGCGTTGCTCCCGCGCCCTGGCTATGGGTCCGCTCCAGCCGCTCGCGCTCAAGCCGCTCGCTGTCCGACTGGCTCTGTGTGCGCTCGGGCCTGTTGTGGCCCGTGGGGGAGCTGGGGGCTGGCTGGGAGGAGATGGTGCGCAGCAGGTGGTTTCTTTTCCTAAGGAAGTCGCTGTTTGCGCCCAGGCCGAAGCTTCCCTTGCGCAGAACCATCCGTGCGCTGCTGGTCTTGGCGGGCCGAGCGCGTTGGTTGTATTCCAGCTGGGACAAATGTGCCGCATACCCTTCTGTGATAAACTGCAGAGAGGATCAGGCATTACATAAAACGCATTAATTGGCTGCAGCAGGTGGAGTATTAGATCAGAATCCGACTAAGTGCTACCTGGCACAGGTTCTGCATCTTTTTGGAGGGTCTGCCGACGATGTATATCTGAGATGGAGAAAGGCCGATGGAGGTGTAGACACAGATGTCTTTGGTTGATCCATATCCAGCAAAGATCTTCATGTTAGACTGAAATCAACCCGCAAACAGAAGAGAACAGATTATCTTGGTAAATTACAGAAAATATCTGTCTCAGTTTTTTTTTCCTCATGTAAAACGATCACAGTCTTGTATCCACACCCATTATACAACACACAAACTCTGAAGCCATTCCCTGTTTTTTTCTTATTATGAAGAAAAGGGGAAATTAATTAAAAATTCACAGATAAACCCCTGAATAGTGGCATCAAATGAAGGCAGTCCTTTCCCTCTGACACGAAAACATGAGAAAAGGTTCAAAGTCCAAAATTATGACATAAAATGAACTTAAAAAGGAGGGACTTTCCAGATTCTAATTGATACCCAAATAAATATGTAACACCGTCTTACCTCTGTCAGGGTTTTGAGGAAGTTGGCCTTGTGTCTACGAGGGTCATGGACCAATCCGTCACAGAAAGAGACGATGCCGTGTGGGAAGTTGTGCTGAGACAACCAGGCCACCACCCGCTGCTTCTGCATGTCTGGACGTCCCGTTACATAGATGATCAAATAACCTAGATCCTGCCAGTGCCTGCAAAAGATATAAATGACTTTTATTCTTTAATCTAGAGGAAACCTAAAATGAGGCTAGATAGGATGACCCGGCTACCTGACCACGTCCACAGCCCCTGCCCTCACTTTGGGGTCGCTCCCCATGATTGACACGCTGGCAGCGAACGACCCGTCGATGCTGAACACTACAAACTCAGTGCCTCGAGGTACGACGGTCAGGTAGCTGTCTGCAAAGGTGTGGTCGCCCCTGGGAAAGGAAAAAAAAAAACCCAAACTAAGAAAATGAAAACCAATATGGTACACACCTCTGGGAAGATGCACCTGACTGGCAGCTCATTAATCACGACACAGAGTCCGTTGGAAAAGGTTACCTGACAACCATTTTTACAGGGTAGACTCCGATGCCTAGGCGCTTGTTCTCAGGGATGGTAAAAGAAACACGGCCGCTGCTCTGAGTCACTTGTGTGTCGAAGTACACCCATTCTCCTGATGGAGGCTGGGTCATGATGTGAAGGTCGACCTGTGCATGATAAAAAAAAAAAAAGCTATTGAAATGAAACGGGTTTCTGACAGCAGGTTGAGTTCTGCCTGGTATGCAGGATTACCTTCTCCCCGGCTAGAGTCACCATGTCCAGAGGGCCGTACAAGAAGCGGCCTGTGATGACCTGCTGGCTGTCTTCGGTGAACACAGAGTCGTTCACACGATGGTTGGCAGTCACGTTCTGTCATATGAGTAAAAATAAATATAATTAGGAAGATAAAGTCTCCTTATGCACACACACTTAAACCCTATTTTCCCATGTGTCAACCATGTGGGCAAGGAAACACAAAAGAAATAAAAAGAAAACATGGTATGTTTTTTATTTTTTCCATGAAAAATTCTAAGAATTATGCTTTGCCAGCACCAATCACAGCTTTAAGTCTTCTGGATCATTCTAACATGAACATTCCTAAATATAAACCATTCTAATGTACCCCTGGCTCTGCAGCACCTAGCAGGTTTTCTTCAAATGTTGTCCTTTATCTATATTCCCATCATCTCAGCCCCTGCTGAGGAAAATAATCTCCACAGCATGATGCTTCTACTACCATGCTTCACTCTGGGCATAATGCCTTGAGTCTGCTGTTCAATCTTAGTTTTCCTTCACGGTGTTTAACGCTTAGAACCAAAAAGTTTAATTGCTCTTCTCAGCTTTCCAGATCCCTCATCCTAAATGTTTGCTGTTTGAATTTTTCTGCTGTGAGACAACTTGAAAATGTTTTCTTGATCTCAGACCCACCCTGATCTTGACGTGAGTCCTCTTGCGGAGCCACTTTTCCCGGGGTTTAGAAGGAGTAAATTCAGACACTTCTTTCCCGTCCAGCTCCAGGATGCTTGAATTTTCATGCCTCATAACCTAAAAGCGGAGATTTATTAGTTCATCCTCTGAATCTCTAAAATGGCAGGTTCAGTTTAACGACAGAATAAATAAATAAAAAAAAATTTAAGTCCACTGACCTGTCTCAGGAGGAAAGACACAACATCTGTGGATTCCCAGTAGGAAGCATGGAAGAGGTGTGGTAAAGCCACTGTTGGAAAGGCGGTCAGAGCATCGGGGCAGTACAGAGCAAAGTCCAGACGCTTTGTGCCCCACCAACGTGCTGCAACTGCAAAGGGGGAGGAGTTGAATATGGCAGAGGTACAGGAGAGGAAACTTAAGGAGAATGTGATCACAGCAGTGCAAAACCCTTGAAACCCAATTAATCAAAAAAGTAGAAGCAATCTTTTCAAAAAGAAAAAAAAAAACAACGGCTTCACCTCTTCAGCTGCAGAAGAGAAAGAAAGGTGTTTATAATTATTGTAGTCAAAGAAATCATGCGCTGCATCAAACGTAGAGAGGTGGTTAGAAATAATGACCAAGTGTTTATCATGTTAGCAAGGTTTTAATAAAGAGGAAAGTGCTAAATTTAAGTCTGAACATTGATCCCAGTAAGTTTCAGTGATTGCTTTGAGTCCTTGAGAAGACCATTTGGAAAGAATCCCGGAGGTGAGGAAGGGGGGGAAAGACTTTCTGCAGGAGCAGCATGGAGCTTTTGGACAGTGCAGAACACCCTTGCTGTGATTTTCCCCAACTTCAGAAAAAAATACCTTGATCAACTTCAGCTTGGGAGTCCAGTGACACAAGATCACATATAGCACAGTCCAGGCCGGGCGACAGCCTGTCCCTGTAATCTGAGGTGAAACTTAGACATTCGCTTGAGTCTGTCTCAACATCCTGGTCCGGACCCGGGTCTTCGTCAGGAGGTCCTGCAGCTGGATCAGCCTCAGCTTTTTTATGGGACTTTGGTGGATTTTTCGGCTTGAATTTGTTTATGGGTGTTAGGGCAAGTTGGGACAACAGACTGAGCCTACTGGGTTGGTTAATCTGCTCTGATTTGGCTACATAAGGGGAAAAAAAACAACAGGAAAACGTGTGATAAAATGGATGCATATATAACAGAATAACAGTTTAAAGAGTAAAAGAAGAGTTATATTTATTAGAAATGTGTTTTTAACTTCTCAGCAGAGAGACTGGTTAGTAAAAGGTAAAAGTATCATAGCAAAAAGGGTGTTAAGTCAACATTTATATTTTTTCCAAATAAGGATCTAGACCGTCATACATTCTGATGTGAAATAAAGAAATATATAAAAAAAACAGGAACAAAAGTAAAGAAAATAGAAGGTAAGGGGAGGACAGGCTTTAGTAAACAATTAAACAAAGAGAAACATTGCTGATCATCTCAGCAAACAGTGCAGTAGGAGTAGACTTGTGGAAATGGCTTGGGAGGGAGACTGGTGTCCACATGCACTGAAACATCAGATAAATGCAGCACTAGGTCATTGCATTTACATTTAGACAGTGGATTAAAGAAAGACAGACAGTGAAAAGTGGCGCTAAGTTTTCTCCTCTGCAGGACTCTGATCTTACTGGCACTTCGCTTGTTGCAGGAAATTAACGGATCAGGATGAGTTGCTCATAAGACAAGTCTGACAAAGCAGACGTACAGTAGGTGGAGTATTTGTGTTGCAGTGCCTTGCAAAGAGTATCGATGTCCATTAATCTTTTCCACATTGTATCCTGCTCCAACCATGTTTATAGGGGGATTTTAGTGATGGACCCACGAAGTTGTGCACAATTGTTAGGATGGATAAAGAGCATTAGATTTTAGCTCTGGGCTATGACTGGACCTTTCTAAGACATCTATATATCTATATATATGTGTGTGTGTGTTTTCATCTATATCCCTCACACTATTAGTTTTCCAAAACAGACAGGCCTTTGCACATAGGACAAAAAGCTTAATTTTTCTTCTGATCTGACCAGAGCACCATGTCCTCCAGGTTTAAATGTTTGCTGGGTCAGCTGTGTGGCATTCAGAAAACTTCAAACAGGAACTTTTGCTTCATATAGGTGTCAACATAAATCATGACTAAACCAAACTGTTTTTTTTCTTTATCACACATACAACCCTTTAAGGGCATCAGCACCTATGCAGCTAAAAATATAGAGAAAGAGGGGCATTGAGGTGAGCGATGTGTTTTTTCCTCTAAATACATCCTTTTACCTGAGCTATGGAAGTCTGCAACTCCTTTTGAGATACCAGGGATCTCTTAGTTGATGATTAAAGCTCTCTTTGCCTGGTGTCTGAGAATCTCTAAGAAGGTTTAGAGATGTGCTATGCACTTTTCCAGATTACGCACCATTAACAGTGCTCTGAGAGAGTTTAGAAGGCTGGGCTGCTGTCCGTCAAGAGTAAAAGGTTGATCTGTTCTGTTTCTTCTTTCACAATTATGCACAACTTTGCTTCTCTCACAAAATGTGGATAAAACATTAAAATTGGCACCATAAATACTTTTGCAAGGAGCTGTCTTTGGCTGATTAGATTGCTCCAGATGGAGTGTAGGGTGTGTGTAGAGTCAGAGTACCGGTTGGTTGAGAGTATGAGAATGTGGGAGAGTTGGAAAGAGAATCTAGGTGTACAGAAATAGAGAAAAGTTGGCCTAAAGCCGAGAAAAGGTGGGAAACTAACGAGACTCGTGTTTGTGTGAGTGGAAGAGAGAGAGAGAAAGAGAGACCGGTCAATGTTCAGAACACTTACTGTTGGCTATGCTGGTGGCAGTGAAACTGTCTGCCATTCCTGAGACCTGGCTGGCAATGCTGATCTCACTGGCCCTCCGTTGGCCCCGGGAGACAGGGCCCATTATGGGAGATGAAGGGTACGAACTGTCCATGAAGACACCACCATGAGACTGAACAACATCCGCTATTGAGCCCAAACAAGGAGATCCCATTAGACAGAGACACAGGTAAGGTGGGTAACTCACAGTGACTGGGTGAGAGGCGAGAAATGAGGCCCCACAAGTACAGTAGGGGGGTGGGGGGGGTGAAAAACCAAATGAACATGCTGGCTGGGGTCAGATTTATTCAACTGACTGACATGTAAATATACCAACAAACACCTATAACAATTAAAGCTGGAGTATAAGCTTGAAACTATATATAAGGTCAATTATTTGGAGAAATGGGGCTGGAGATTTTATAAGATCAGACAATCGCCAAAAGAAAACACAAGACTCAGTTTATCAAAAATATAGATACTAAGCTTCACGTTTAGCCAACAAAGCAGCACAACAATGGGTTAAAATGACTCCCAAAGCAGAAGTTTCCACTTGTCAACATCACGAAACCCAAAATCATAGAAACGATACAGAATACACTTGGTGGTAGCAGCACAGCACAAACCAGAAATCCTGCACCCTCAATACACACGACAGCAGAGGGAGACACACTACAACAGATGCTCAGCAGGTTCGTTTCCATGAGTATTTCCATCACTTAAAATATCGATATGTTGGGATTTTGGTTTAAAACATACAAAACAAAAAAAACTCTTTAAAAAAAAGTGATATCTGTTCAAGCAACCAACAGAAGTTATCATCAGGAATTTCATTATAACTTTAAGCACATAATCATTTAAATTAAGACACTGCTCCCCGGGCGCCCCAAGATGGCAGCTCACTGCTCCCCATGGGGACGGGTTAAATGCAGATGTAAATTATCAATGAAATGGGGAAGAAAAGTCAACAAAAGGATAAAAAACAGCTAACCCATGTAAAAGTTACACAAACTTAACAGAAGCAGTGTTTCTATTAAAATGAAAATACCAGAAAATAAAGAATCTGGTTGATGAAATCTAATATGTGTTTTTTGGCCGATATCTGATATTAATACTAACTGGGACATCCCTAATTTAACCGGGGTGCAAAAGTTTTAACTAAATATGGATTTTCTCCCAAACAGTCAAACTAACGTATATAGGCTCAAATATATTCATACAGCTCCCACGCTAATTGAGGAAAATGTGTCTTAGTGACTTACAGAGAATCCACAAACATTTTGCAGCCGTAAAGAAAGGCGAAAATATGGATATTTCACCTGTTCATCACAAAAGCTAATACTCTATTGGCTCATCATGGCATCATTTCAACCAATAGTTTTCTTATCTTTTACTCTTGGAAACAACAGCGATGGAAATACTCAGAGAATATATAAAAAATATGCAAAACCAGTCTGATCTCTTAGGCACACAACAGGAAAATAAAAAAGAGAAGCAAGCCACAAATGGAGGGAGTGAATGAACAAGGATGGAGGAAACATGGAGGTGAACGGGAGATGCTACACACACTCAAAGGTGGTGGGTGTTGCTCTCAGGGAGCTGTCCTGCCAGTTTAGCACGGGAACAGGAATGCAGGTCTCACTGATGGTCTCCTGACAGCGGAAGGACAGGGGGGGCCCGCTATCAAGTAGCAGCTGAGCGTTGCTCTGGACTGTCTCCACTACAGAGGGAGTTGGAGGAGTGGGTGGAAGGGAGGAAGGGGGGAGGCAGAGGTCAGGGGTTGGTTTATAGGTGTGCGGATATGGGGACAGGAGACCGAGAGAGAGAGGAGGAAGGAAAAAAAAGACAAGGAAGACACAAAAACATATGAAGCAAGAACATGAAACGAGAAAGAGGTCAGGACCTCTGGACCAAAACTGTTTCCCAGCAGGAATGGCAAATTTCAAACACTTAAGAATGCAAACTGAACCCAAGAGGATGGACCATACTGCTCTTTCTTTCAGAGAGTGTGAATAGATAGATAATGCTAATACAGATGCACTTACTGCTCAGGTTCACCCAGAGCAGTCTGGGTTAGGTTTAAAAAAAAAAAAAAAAAGACATTGTGAAGAAAAATAAATAAAAATTGTTCATCAACCAATGCTGCCTGCCTTCAAAGAAGAAAAACGGCACAATTTACTTTATACATCAGGTCAATAATGAATAAAGACCTGAGGCTGTTTTCAACAGAAACCTTTCAAAGCAAAAAAGGTAAAAACTGATGGACTCGGAGGATTTTATGGGGAGAAATATATCCAATTAAAGCAGGGAAATTATACACCTTTTTTTCTGACTTTAATACATTTTGGTAAAAGGCTGTTAAATAAAATAAAACTGAAAAGGTGAAAAGAAGTAAAGATGTTCTAAATGTCTTTTTTTAAGTGTCTCTGTATCTTAGTTTGGGAGAAAAACATCCAGCTTTCAGGCGTACGTTTGCAACCTGCAGGCAAATGATAGCATAAAAAACAGGTGGTTGAAGAGCTAAGGATTACTTTATTAAATTTAATGTTCCAAAAGAGACAACAAGCAGGACATTGGCCGTTTTTAGATAAATAACAGAAGACAACCAGTAGAAAAAGGATTTACTTTGCTCTTTCACTTGCTGGCTTTTGCCTTCATACGTCACTCCTAAGTGTAACTCACCCAGTAAGGTCGAGTTTCCGTCTCCCAGGGGGAAGCGTTGGTAACGGGGGACACTAAAGGGGGGGAGGAGGTGAAATTTCCTCTCCAATAGAGGCTCCAGGCGGGAGGCAGAGGGATCAGCTGGGTGGAACAAGTTATAGACCTGCTGACAGGCCGGCCTCAGCTGGGCCACTAGAGGGGGAAATCAAACCAAAGATATGGGGAATGAGATCAAAGGAACAAGATAAATAATTAAGGCATTTTTAATAAAACATTTTAAATTTAAGAAATTCCAAAACACATTTAAAACCACTGCCTTTCGTTTTATGGAAAAGCTCACCATCCAGCATAGGGATTACAGTTTTCCTCAAAGCCAGCACCAAGCCCAAGGGAGACCCAAAGAGGAAAACATCCGCCACCTCAAAGTCGAACTTCCCCAGGGAGCTTCCGTCCAGCATGGTGCTGCTGCTGGACCTGCGGGACACTGCGTCATTCCGAAGGACGCTAGAGTGCAAGCTTAAAACAAACCACAGCTGTTAGTCCTTTTGTACCTTCATCTTTTTTCATCTTATTAACGCTCCACAAAGGGTCAACACTGAGACACTGCATTCAGTACTAATTTTGCATGGTATGGATACTGATAACAAATGTTCATTTTAGATTTTATTACCATTTGCACATTAAAAGGAGAACACTTTAGACAACCTTAAAGTATTGTCAAATTTAGCATTAAAATTTAGATTTTTTGTTTTGCATTTATTTACATGCTTACTTAACTAGCATCTGGCTGGTTAACCAAGAGCGTTTTTCATTTCAACAAAAATATTTTTTATGTCTCTACTTATCTTAAAAATTCAGTTTTTTCATCTCACTGTATCGGAAATTGAAATGGAGTATTTCTTGGGTATTGATATTAAATTTGACATTTTTACTATTGTGACAACCATTTTATAAAGATATGAAAAAAAAGGATATAAAGAGATTCTAACAGATCAACACAAAGTAATGCTTGATATTAAGGGGTGTGAAGTATGACACAAAACGTTCCTTTAGGAAAGACTGTTAAAAAAAAAAAGCCATTGCTGATAGAAAACCTACGAGTTCATGTTGCAGATTTTGTCAGCAGCCATGTATGGAAAATAGAGGACATTCTGATAAGATACATTTTTTTTCACCTTTCTGATTGATGGAAAACAAGGAATGCATCCCCCTGATTATTTCACCTTCCCTGTGAATCATGATGGAGGCAGCTTCTCACTGAGAAGGGCGATTTTCTTCAACAGGAACAGGGAAGTTGCTTGGAGTTGATGGGAAGGAGGAATCTTTTTAATGTAAAACGGGACAATTCTTGAAGAAAACCTATATGAGGCAGCAAAATGCTTGGGATGGAGGTCAAAATTTGAACTCTAGGAAAGCGGCAAGAAACTAACAGCCAGGGCTATAATGGAATGGTTAAGCTTATCTATGTGTTTGAATGGGCCTGAGTCCAGAGCCCGGTCTACATATGAATCTATGGCAAGACCGAAAGATAGAGGATCCACGTTCTTTCTGTTGTACAGAGATGAAAATATAATACATGGACATATGGCAAAAGACAAACAGCTCTAACTTTTACCAAGCAGTGACCCAGGAGGGCTCAGCACATGTTCCAGACTTTTAGGGAGAAATAGATATTCTATCTCCTTCATATAATTGTACTGGCCTGAAATATAAGATGATATTAAAGATAAAGTAAAGGAAGGGAATTAATTTGAAATGAATGTAAAAGCTTAGAGGGAATTAATACTTTTTTCAAAGCAGTACTACCACAACATGTACAGTATATGCAGTACTGGCGCCCCCCAGGGGCGTGTTTTTTTAACAGTCCTCTCCACACATAGGACGATGCTGCCTGTCCTCACCACCCTCAACAACACAATGGCTGCTGTGAATTACTGCCTTTTCCAAGCTTTGCGGTGTAAGGTTTGTCCACCAAACAGGACAGCTCCAATGAGCTTCAATGAGGTCTGCAGAGAAGATCATCTCGGCCAATATTATCTCCATCCAGAACTTGTGCAGGTTTAAGTTCGGGAAAAGGGGCCAGGAAACATTTCTGTTGATCCCACATAAACTGTTCAGGCTTTTTACCCTCAGGTTGGCACCGCAGAGCACCGTGTTGTAACAACTTGTCTCTCCCATGAACACCCAGATCTAAACCAGGCATATCTGCATTCCTTCAACCACCTCCTCCTCGTTTGTAGAAACATGTATGCACACATATTTACAATTCAATGTCCATAAAACATCTTCAATGAGAGCAAAGAGGAACCAGAGTGAAGTTCCTTGTTTGTGTGTGCAAACTTATGATTAAAACTTATTCTGATGATTGTCAAGAGATCCATGCTTTTGCTCTGGTATGTATTAATGTCATCACTCACCTTGACAAAAAAGCTTGGTGCTGTTTAATTGTGTCCATCTCGTAGGTGGAGGAGTCACTTCTCTTGCGTGGCAGCTGCCTCTTGGTCTCATCGCTTGAAGTGGCACGAGGAATATCAATGTTACTGCGACTGAGGTGGCGGCTGCCCTCCAGGGTTGGAGAAGAGGATCCATGTCCACTGTTGACAATGATCCCTGGAGAGAGAAGGTCTTGGTCCTACATGAGCAAAGATAACAAATATTCCTTTAAAAAAAAAAACTGTATCATAATGGCCAGTTTAGGATGTTAATGCTTCCTTACCTGCACGCTGATGACACTGCCCCTGCGGCTGCTGTTCTGGCTTTCATTTACGGCAGGGGAGCTGTGACAGAGAGCATCAAATCCCAATATTCCTCCCACGCAGTCCCCAATGAGACAAACCTGGAAAGAGAAGTTTCAAGTAAAAAAGAAAGCGTAACAATAGTTGTATGTAATTTAAACATCATTCTTCTTAAAAAGTTTTAACAGGAGTCATCTTTATCTATATCCATGATACGTTTGAGGAGAGACCATCAACATAAGTAATTTTGTCAGAAATTTTGATTCCAGCCTATGATTAACTGAAGGATGAATCATTTCTGAAGTCATTATATATATATATATATATATATATATATATATATATATATATATATATATATATATATATAT